ATAAACTTATACACATTGCCCGTCACCAACACAGCCCTCTATTAAGCTCCATCAGTCTATAAGGAGGAAGATATTTAAACCCTTTATCAATGTCACGTGATAGCATCGAGACTTCCATCCCCCTCCCCCCCCCCTCCACAGCTCAAGGTGATCCATGTGTTCAGTGGCCGTCATAGTGGGTAGACAAGAGCAGACTTTTAATAGGGCAGACTTTTAGCAGGGCAGACTTTTAGCAGGGCAGACTTTTAGCGGGGCAGACTCTTAACAGGGCAGACTTTTTAGTAGGGCAGACTTTTAGCAGGGCAGACTCTTAACAGGGAAAACTTTTAGCAGGGCAGACTTTTAGTAGGGCAGACTTTTAGCAGGGCAGACTTTTAGTAGGGCAGACTTTTAGCAGAGCAGACTCTTAACAGGGCAGACATTTAGCAGGGCAGACTAAATACGAGAAGCTTTTAGAGTAGTATTGTCATCAGTTGCCGTCGAACCTTAGTGTCACATATCCGACTAGAGTTTGCGAGGGATGTTTCTGTCTTTTCCCTCGACGGTATTGCTAGCATGATAGGGTTAACTTTATGGTTAGGGTCGTGACATGCTGAGAGATTTCCCCACCCCACCGAGAGGTATGGGCAGCAGTGCCAAGTACAACGACGTGGGTTCCGAACCCGCAGCTGACGAGATAGATGTCATGATTCTCCATTAGGCCATGAAGTCTCGTAACAATGAGTCAAAATTGTGTATGTTGTAATACTCAAGACTCTTAGGGGACTAGCCTAGTTCCCCCCCCCCCGCCCCCGTCCCCCTCCCGAGTGAGCCCACAGACAGCTCGACACAGATTTAGGGTCATTGATACGGGCCGAATTAGAATTTCGTCTAAGGTTAGGGTTACAGTTCCAAAAGTCTCGAGTTCGAATCCCTGGATGGTATCAGCAAAACGTCCCTGAGTCCACCCAGCTCTGATGTGTACCTGACTCACGTTAGGGAAAGTAAACGCGGGCTGGGCATGGCGCTGAGCGGACCACACTCAATTTTCATGTCGAGGTCACTGCTACAGGTAAACTCTACTTCACCAGCCCCCATAGACCGACTTTCTCCAAAGGGTACTTTACTAGGGTTATAATTAGGCTAGAAAGTATTCATAAGGAAAGTTTTGACAACGCGATGTGTTAGTTTTCCATGAAACCAGTGCGATATAGCCAGCGTTTGATACTTCAAGAAGGTTCGCACTACTTTCTCTTCAGCAGCCCCGCAATAGCTATACATACACCGTTCGCTAATGGAGAAAATACGGTAAAATCTATTCAACTCTCTCTTATTAAAACACACCAAGTCTATTCTACACGCACCCCCTTCCTTCGTCGTGTAAAATCTCAAACCTCAATTATTATTTCTTTTCTATTTACCTCCGAATCAGGTAAACAACGATTTATCACCGTTGCATCCCCATCCCCATCCCCACTCATGCGTGAAGATACTTCTTCCTTCCCTATATAATTTTATAAAGTCCCTCCCCCCTCCTTTTTTTTCGGGCGCGCCCATTTTAGATGCATGTGTGTACATGTGGCAACCTAGGTATTCAGCGACGCAATATTTCTCTTTGTTGGGCGTTTGTTGACATAGGCAACCAACATTCAGGTAACAATCACTGGATGCTTATCTTCCATCTTCCCTGTGACGTTGGGTTTTTTTTCCCCACGTTGTTGTGGGGAAGGCGAATGGACATCAGACTACAGAACCTGTTTGTCGGGTCGCGGGTGGGGTGTTTGGTTGTGTGAAGGGAGTCAGGGTCACGGTGGTTGAGGAACTGTGTCACGGTGATAGAGTCACAGTGTGACAGTCACGTAGTCAGAGTCACGAAGTAAGAGTCACGTTGTTAGAGTCACATCACGTTGTAGGAGTCACATCACATTGATAAAGTCATATTTTTAAAGTCACATTGTTAGAGTCACATTGTTAGAGCCACACTCTTACTGTCACGTAACCAGAGTCACGAAGTAAGAGTCACGTTGTTAGAGTCACATTGTTAGGGTCACATTGTTAGGTTCACATTGTTAGAGTCACATCACAGTGTTAGAGTCACATTGTTAGGGTCACATTGTTAGTGTCACATCACAGTGTTAGAGTCACATTGTTAGAGTCACATTGTTAGAGTCACATTGTTAGAGTCACATCACAGTGTTAGAGTCACATTGTTAGAGTCACATTGTTAGAGTCACATTGTTAGAGTCACATTGTTAGAGTCACATTGTTAGAGTCACATTGTTAGAGAAACACTGTTAGAGTCACACTGTTAGAGTCACAGTCTTACTGTCACGTAGCCAGAGTCACGAAGTAAGAGTTACGTTCTGAGAGTCACTGTGTTACGATGTCAGTAACGATGTTAGAGTCACGGTGCTATAGACACATAGTCAGAGCCACGTTGTGAGAGTCACATTGTTAGAGTCACGGCGTATTAAAAAATCACCGAAAATAATTATAACATGGTTCGGAGTCAGTAAATGTAGGCTTACAGTTCGTTAAATTTTTTTTTAGAGTTTATCATGATAATTTGACGTACGTGGAGTCATGAGTCAGTGAACAGAATGGGTTGTAACCATTCAGTGAAGTATTATCTGACTTGGGATAAGTGGAGTCATAACTCAGATCAGTGGAGTCTTAGGGAAGGTGACGCATATTATGTATTTAATTATTTATTTA